ATTACGTTGTTTGTTGCCGCTTATGGGTGGGATCACATTCGGCAGTCGGGTGCCAATTGATGCGGCGTGGCGTCGTGTGGATGGCCACGAGGCCCGATTCGGTTGCCAGCTGGCGCTCCGTGTTGTGCTGCGTAGTTTTGAGTGGTGCTGCGTGGGTCGTCACGAGGTTCAATTTTTTGACTTGGTGCCATGCCGAGTGCTGCCATGCGGCGCCGTGTGGGCTGCCACGCGGTCGGATGCGGTCGCTCAATGTTGCGAGCCGTGCTGAGGTTTGCGTCGTGTGGCACCGTGCTGTGTTGGTGGGCGTGAGCGGCGCTGCAGCTCAGCGCTGTAACATGTGGTGCCCTGCTATGACAAGTGGATTGGCATAAGTCACCGAGCGCGCTCCGCTACTCGAACAGTGCATACTCGCAAACGTCAGAGAACAGCATGTCTTCCTCGATGTACTGGATCGTAGATCTCACGCGGCGGGTCCAGGCCACCTGCGAGTAGGTATTTTGCGAGTAGTGGAACACGCTTGTCTCACAAGGTTGGGCGCGATCGCACAACCGCGGTGCCGTGTGGCGTGATGCCGTGTCGCCACGAGGTTGGATTTCGCCCCTGGCGCTCATGCAGTCGCTTGGGGTTCCACGAGAGTGCGCGCTGCAACACTGGGGAGGAGGATGAGGACGAGGCGGTGGAGGGAGGGGGCGAGTTGCGTGCAGATGGGCCCCGCTTGCACGTACATGGTGCGTTATTCGTTGTCCAGCCGATCAAGCTGGAGAGGTGGGATGGCAGGACGAGGGACCGTGGTAGAGAGAGACGGCACATAAAAGCTACATGCCGAGGGATCTTCGCGAGACTGCGGGGACCTTGGGCAGCCCCAGCCCTGGCGGCAGCGGCGGCAGCGGCAGCGTGAGCAGGGGCGATGGCAGCGACAGCGTCATCAGCGGAAGTGGCGTTTGCGGCAGCATCCACCAGCACAGTGTCGGGCGGGGGGGGTCCTTCTGCCGCTTGCTCAGGCCCTTTCGAAGTAACCAGATCGAGCGTCCAATTCTCCTAAGAGCTTCGTAGCATTCTATGGCGCATGAAACGCGCCCGCCTCCCACAGGACGATGTCCCAGTGGAGCTCGCGCCGAGCGTGGCCAAGGATCTGGCCACCGTGGCCGACGACGTCGTGCAGCGCGACGCGACCTCGACAGCGACCTCCACGGCCTCCTGGGGGCTGGGCCACGAGCAGTCACGCGCGGCAGGGGGGGCAGGCTTCGTTGCTGGGGAAGCGGCAGGAGAGGACCAGGGCTCGCCTTTGCCAGGCACTGCTTCGTCTAATTCACCTCCTCCTCCTCCTCCTCCTCCTCCTCCTCCTCCTCCTCCACATTCGCCCTTACGACTCGCGAGTCAGGGTCCCCAGAATCAGCCTTGGCAGTTTTGGTCTGGACGCCTCTTGCGCAGGCTGCGCCCGCTCCGGCGCAGGGCTTTCTGGGCTCTTCTCGGCCGAGCTGACTGTCTGGTCCGCTGCCCGTCGAGGAGCCACGGCCCGGCCACAGCGCACACGTGGCGATGCGAGTTCTCCTCCTGCCTCCATCTCTCGGCTCGGCGGCGGGCGAGGGGGGGAAAACTGATAACGAGAAAGGCTTTCTCAGAAGGAAGCCCCCGGGCCTCCTGAGGTGTCGTTCGTTCTGGTGTCTTCGGGGAAGGCTGGGGGGCCTCGGAGCCTTCTCAGAAGGCCCGCCCCTTCTCACTTCCCCCCCCGGGCGCGCCGCCGACAAGCATGCAGTCCTGCGCATAGAATCGCACATCGGGATACAGCCCAGTCCGATGAGGGCGCGGCTTCGGAGCTTTTACAACCTCCTGTTCCTGTTCGTGTTGGGACTCTCTCTCATGCCGCGCACCCCGTCCTACGGGTCTCTCTTCATAGAGGCGCGCACGTCCTTCCACGTTTGCTCTGAGAACAACCGCGAGGTTTCCCTGCCGCTACCACGAGTCCGCTGCCGCTTGCCGTAAACGCCTGCCTGGGCGGACAGCTCCTGCTTCTGAGAAGTCTTGCCGCCCTCCGAGGAGGCCTTCGCCTCCTCACTTCCCCCCTCGCTCGCCACCGAGCTCGGTCACGGTCAGCGATGCCAGCCTCAGATCACTAACTCAAAACAGACGCCCAATCCCAAAAACGCGGGGGCCAGGACAAGACGCAGACGCCTCGAGACTTCGGGGAGGGAGATTTTGGGGTAGGGTTTTACCAGGGTGACGACGACGAACGCAAAACATACCCCGAAATCTTTGGCCGATCTTCGAATCCTCGGCGAATCGAAGGATTGCAAAACAACCCTCGAACGAAGGATTGCAACAAAAACTTCGAGTTTTTTTTTGCAATCCCTCGAAGGTTTTTTTTGCAATCCTTCGATTTTGGGATTGGGGATCTGTTTATTCGTGGTCATCAGGGCCCGCGCCTGGCCCTCGGGGAGCTCGAGCTGAGCTCACACGCCAGCGCAGCGCGCCGCCCCCCCCGCGCCTGGCCTCTTCCCCGCGGCCGTGGGGCAGGGGTGGCTCGCGCCGCTGGCGCGGCGCGTTCTTCGCTTCCTGCTCGTCTTCGCCCTCGTCCTCGTCGCTCCTCGTCCTTCTGCTCGCGATTCCAGGTCCGCTCCTCTCGTCCGCGCCCTCCTGCTCCGGGGTCGCCCTCCCCCCGCCCCCCTCTCTTCTTCCTCCTCCTCCTCCTCCTCCTCCTCCTCCTCCTCCTCCTCCTCCTCCTCCTCGCTCCTCGCTCCTCGGCCCTCGCTCCTCCTCCTCCTCCTCCTCCTCCTCCTCCTCTGAGCTAGCAGCTAGGGCAAGGCTGGGGGCTGGGGCCGGGGCCAGAGCCAGGGCCCGGGCTTGGGCCGGGGGCTGGGGCTGGGGGCCAGGACCGGGGCCCAGGACCGGGGGGCCGTTTGCGGGGGGAGGGGTCCTATAGGCCCCCCTGCCGACAGGAAGGCCACCCCCGCGCCCCCTTGTCCCCACACGGGGGGGAGCGCCCTGGATGAGGCGATGCCTACTTTTTCCTTACCATCGCAGTCGTGCATGCATGACTGCGGTTTCACCTGTTCACCTGTTCACCTGGGAGGGAGGGCCGCCAGGCCCCCGGGGGAGCGGTAATCTGACCCGGGCCCCCCCCCCCCCCCCCGCTGCCCCCTCCGCCCCCCCCCCCCTCACTCGGGGGTCCCCAAACGGGGTGGTGACCACACCGTGCGGTGAGTCGGTGGGGATTTGGGTCTCCGCACGGTTTTGGGACTCGGGTCGGTCTCCGAGGACGTCTCGGGCGATTGGGGCATCCGAGGTCCCAAAGCCGTGCGTTGACGGACCGTGCAGTGAGGACTTGGGGGATTTCGAGGTCACCGCACGGTCTGTCGCCGCACCGTTTCGGGACTCCCGTCAGGCAGGGAGCATGGGAGAGAGTCGACGGAACTGTGACGGTTCTTTTTCCACGCTTCTTGTCTTTGCTCGTTTCTAGATTTCCTGGGGGCTGGGGACGACGACGACGACGACGACGACGACGACGACGACGACGACGACGACGACGACGACGACGACGACGACGACGACGACGACGACGGCAGCGTCTCGCACACGCCGCCTGGGTCGGCAGATCTTGGCGCTCCTAGGGTAGCACGGTGGCTGCATGGGGGCCGCCCGCGGCAGGCGCGTTGCGTCCGCGGCGGAGGGCGGGGAAGACGAGGCGTCCAGCGCGACACCCTGGCGCCTCTGGCGCAGAGGGGGGGGGTAACGTCGGGGCTGGACAGAACCCCCAACAGTGACACGTCGATTAGTGAATCGTCCGTTTTCGGTTCTCGAGAGGGCTCCGTGGCCGTTATTTTCCAGGCTTGCGCCCGCCAGGTTTGGGCCTCAGGTCGTTTTCACTAAACCACGTTTTACTAAAGGGGGTTCTGTCCATCTCCGATAACGGGGGGGGGAGGACGGCTTCTTAGAAGGAGGCTGCTCCTTAGAAGGCGCGGGCCTTCTCTATGAATATGCCAGGGCGGCGCCCTCTACGAAGCGGCCCCTTTCTAAGAAGCCTTCCCTCCGTCCCTACCCCCCTCTGCGCGCCGCCAATGTACAGTCGACCCGCACAGTAAGGACGAGCAACTTTCCAAGGTTACCCTTGCATCCTTACCGTATACCCTTCGGCCCATCCTTGGCCGCTTTCGCTGGCCGCGCCCCGCTCGCAAAGTGTCGGCACGGCCTTCCACGGCCCTTGCGTCCTCATCGTGCGCCCTTGCGACACGGGTTGACTGCAGGGGCTTCGCCTCCCAGAGCGGCTCCGACGCGCCCCTTCTCCCGTCTTCCTGCCCTCGTCTGCGTCCCGGTCCTCGCCCCGCGCTCGGTCTTCTTCGTTTGCGCGGCCCCGGGCCCCTCCGGTCTTCTCGGGCGGCGTCTGCCGCGTGAGCCACCGCCCGAGGGCTGCCGCGCCCAGGAGGAGCGCACTGCGAGCCCGTTCCGTGGACCTGCCATTCAGGCGAGAGCTCTGTTCTGAGAAGGGTCCGATCTCCGTCCTTCTGGCGGTGGGACTTGCGAAGGTGCAGTGTCGTATCTTTCGAGGGGGTGCTCCACGAGGGCCCCGATTCGGAGTGGAATGTGTCTCTCATCCGTAGGGCACTGTGGACTGGAAGAAGGTAATGCTCCTCGCCATCCTCAAGCCGCCCTGGCTGCCCTGTCTCGTGCACCTGCTTGTGCGGTCATTGGTTCCCAGCAGTGCGTTGGGCGCTGCTGGCATCAGAATCCTCCGGGATGCTGCCCCCCGCAGAGTTCTCAGCTGCTCTCAATCCTCCCTCGGCCTCCTTCCAGTGCGGAGGCGGCACCGACCACCAAGAAGACCACCAAGAAGACCACCAAGCAGACCACCACGACGACGGCTACCGAGACGACGACCACCATCACGGAAGGGCAGGGCATTTGGTGGTGGTGGCGGGAGGGACCTGGGAAGATGGAGCAGGGGCGACAATGAGAGAAAGAGAGAGAGAGAGAGAGAGAGGAGGCGCGGCTGATGTATATACAACGATGAAGATCGAGCGTCGCTGGTGCAGCGCCGCTCTGGCCGCACGGGGCACCTCTGGCGTGGCCCAGGGACGGCCCTCGCTGCTCCCGCTCCGCCCCCTTCCCTCCGTCCCTCCCTCCCTCCTGCCAGAGGTCTCTGGCCGCACTGCCGTCGGTGCTCAAGAGACGGGGGTCAGTGCAAACGGGGTGTCAGTCAGAGCGCCGGACCCTGAGATCCGACGTGGCGGAAAGAATGCAGCATCGTAGAAGTCACGCCCGGAGCCCCGGACCGCATCCTTCCGAGCCGTTCTGCGAGCCGCATCGATCTGTGAGGGTCCGGGGACCCGAGAAAAGGGGCCCCAGCTCGAAAGGATCGAGGCGCCAGGGTCTCGGGGCACCTTGGCAGGATCCTGCACTGTCAGGTTCGCATTTAGGGGGCCAGGTGCGAACCCTACCCCTACCCCCCGCGATTTTTTGAGGGGGAGGGGTACACCTTAGGCGATGCTTAAGAAAACTTAAGTTTTCGGCCAGAGTCTCGATTATTCTTAACGTTTCAATGTAAATCCTAAGATTTCGATCGAATTTTTGGGTTTTTATTCAAGTTCTGAGACCATTAATTTCTTAACCCATGATTTCTTAATCATTTCGCGTGGTGTAGGGTTCGCATCTGGCCCCCTAGCACTGGCCCGGGCCTGGGCGCAGCAGCCCGCAGGGCCCCTGCGAGGCCCGACGTCCGAGCGCCGAGGGCAGGGCCCTGAGAGAGCGCGCGCAGGCACGTTTTTTTTTTTTTTTTTTTTTTTTTTTTTTTTTGTTTTTTTTTTTTTTGAAAAAAATATATTTTTTTTGTTCCGTTTGTTTTGTTCCATCACTCCCTCCTCCTGAGGATCACTCTTCCTCCCCTCCCCCCTCCTCGCCCCTCGTCGTCGTCCTCCTCCTCCTCCTCCTCTTCCTCCTCCTCCTCCTCCTCCTCTTCCTCCACCTCCTCTCTGGCGGAGAACATCTCAGCTTATACATTGCCATGGTTCTTTTTCCAGGCTGCTTACGACCGCGCCGCTGCGAGCCAGGCGACCGCCTTCTGCCAGCGGCAGTGCGTGCAGCAGCCGCGCACTGCAACCGCTTTGCATCGCTCGGACGTGTGCATTTTTCCTTCGGCGAGGACCATCGAGGAGCATCCTTGATCATTTCGCGAAAAACCACGCACGAAACCGAACAAAAACACAGGACATAGACGTCCGAGCGATGGCCAGACCAGTGTGCCGTCCAAGGCACGGTCCTGACTTGACTTGGCTTGACTCCCTCCTCCTCTAGTTTTGACGTTGGGCGAGCACGAGGCGGGGCCTGTTGCGCTACAGTCGGCCCTGATTAGTAGGTCGACCCTGCCAGATCAAGGGTACCGTTGTGTCTTGCACTTCGGGACCCATGCCTCCTGCATTCCTATGGCAACGTGTCCTCGGAAGGGTCTTGTGTCCTCTCGCGTGTCCTCTCCACTCCAGTCCGACTGTATGAGATGATGCAGAACATCGCCGACTTATGCGGAGCAGAAGAGATCAGGCAAAGAAAACAGGCTAAGAGCGTGGGCCCTCAGGGGCACAGAGTATGCGCCGGCCAAGTGGTGTGAGATGAGGAGCGACCGACCGATATGCAACATAACCTGACGTAGAACATGTAAGGAGTACGCCGAATGAGGCAGAGGTCGAAATACACGTGTAAGCTGGCCTGCTGAAGGCTTGGCTGTATCGTCCTCCATGGTGTCAGTGAAACGCAGGAGTGGCTAGGCTGCAGCTTGAGGTGCCTGAGGCTGGTACGGAGACCCCATCCCACCCGGTATCCAAACTCCACCCCAACCCACCATAATAGCTGAAGGAATGCAGTGAAACAGCAGATGCGTGCTGCAGGGTGCAAGTAAGGTGGTGAACAAAATATGGCAGGCGAAGCATAACAGAAAGTGAGGTAGCGCTACTAAATATACGAGATGTGATGGCAAAGCGGCTGAGCTTAAATTTGCTGACAGGCTGGCCAGGTCGGTACTCTTGCGGTTAAACCTACCCCACAACCCGTCAGTACCACTTCAGTATAGGTCAGCTTACATCAAAAGGATATGCTGAAATATATAACTAAACATGCATGCTTGGCGGTAAGTCTTGGTCTGCTACCCGGGGTTGTTCGGTTCACCCCGAACCTCCATGGTCCAAGGGCCCACCTGTTTTTTGTTTAAAACAGTTTTCGGGCTAAGCACAAACCCTTGGTAGCTGCTGGCTGGTAACTGTGAATGCTGGCGCAAAGAGATGGTTGGCCTGTATCTATATCGAGTAGCAATAAGTCAGAGCGATGCTGAAGCTGAGAGAAAGACAAGTGTGCAAGATGAATCCAGATTGGCTCGACACGTCAAAACAGAGAGAGAGAGAGAGAGGATAGCGCTGCAATATGGCACACGTGATCTCACAGTAAAGTTGTGGGGCCACGCTCCTGACACTGAATGTGGCGAGGGTGCTGCAAGGCCACATCTGTCGGCCAAGGCTGGCCTGTACACTAGAGAGAGACGTACACCCCCCATACTAATTGCAGCCTTCCCCCCGTCCTCCATCAGACAGTAATGTCAAGTGTACTGGCAGTCGAGGCTAACGCCGTAACCGAGCTGTGCAAGAGAGTGCAAGCTGAAGAACGAGCGTGCATGGTACAAGCGGTGTGCTGGTGAGCCGAGCTTGAGGCTGGCGCATGTACAGTGGCTGGCGCTGTCTGGGAGCGCAAGTAGGGAACACACCATACTGCGGGCTCAGAGTTAAGGGGCTGGACGGTAGCCGCATCCTCTTCCACCAACCAATCCCGTCCCTTCCTGGGGAATGGCACACCTCCTGCATGGCCCATCCGCAAGCATCACCGACCCAAGGCGAGGAAGAGGGAGCAGGCGCCGTAGCGAGCCGGCGCCACAGGGAGGGGCATGCGCCTGGCACCCATACCCCCCCCCCAAAGCCACCAGCGGGGGAAGGCGCCCGCGGGGGGGAGCAGAGGCCCCCGGCCCAGCGGAGCGGGAACGGCGAGAGAAGCAAAGGATGGACGGCCGACAGCGGGAGGGGCCACTGGGCAAGTGCTTGCGCAGCGGGTGCGTAACGCTCAATCGGGATAGCGTGCTCGAAGGCCACCGTGTGTGAAGTGGAGCAGCCGTGTGTGAAGCAAGCGGGTGGAGTGAAGGAGACAAGTGGGCCATCGTGGTCGTGGGGGGCCAGGTCGACCGAGACAAAACAGAGTGCAAGCAACATGTGTGCGGAGAGGGGTGGCACATCCAAATTTTGTTTCCTGCGGTAATTGATGTCCTGAAAACCGTTGATGTGGAAGATGTGAGCTCGTAGACAAGCCCAAGTATCTTCCGCATTTGCGTAGTAGGTAGGACGTTTTGATTATTGAGAGCCGATGAACTGGTATAAGAACTTGATGGTCTCGTGGAAATTGGTGCTCTACCTCCAGTAGTCTCCACTGTTTGTACTGCGGGCAGGGGACCTTGGTTTAGGTGTAGGTCCCTCCTCCTCCTCCTCCTCCTCGTCTTCGTCCTCGTTCTCCTCCTCCTTTTGAGTTGGTCGGACATGAAGAACGGTGCTTGTTGCGTCCCTCCTCCTCCTCTTCCTCCTCCTCTTCCTTCTGCTGCTTCTCCTCCTCCCCCTCCCCCATTTCTCCCCCTCGTCCTCCGCCTCCTCCGCCTCCTCCTCCTCGTCCTTCTCCTCCTCCTCCTCCTCCTTCTCCTCCCTTGACTTCTCTTCGGAATCTTGGTGCTAGCTTTCATTGGCGAGAAACATGTCCGTATCCGCGGCCTCGCGGGTTGGGTCCCTGGGCCGCGACCCCGCGGATACGGGGCGTTTTTGTCGCGAATGCCCCGCCGGGAACGTATCCGTGCGACCGCGTATCTGCGGGACCGCGCCCCGGAATGCAGACCGCGAGGACGCGGATACGGATATGTGCGCCGCTCGTGAAGTTTGTTGGTAGCACTGCATGGTCCCAGCTGCGACCGCTTAGATTGCCTCTGAGCTCGTCCCATCGCGCTGCGGCTTGCTTGTTCTCCGACTGGCGGGTCACGTGTCTCGCTGGGTCCGTCTGTCTGTAAATTGCGCGACTGGGATAGATTTCCTGAGGGGAGGCGGATTTTTCGATCTGCTTTTGTTGGTTCTCGCCGGTGAAAACAGAATTCTCGCCAGTCTGTCCTGGGAGGCTCATAATTCTGTATTGGCGCTGGTATCTTTGCGGTCGATGACCGGCTCAAGCTGGGGCAATCCGGCTTGATTTGGCTCAGTCCCGCTTAGTCCAGCTCAGTCCGGCCTCATTCCGGGCTTAGAATCCGGCCTGATCCTTCGAAATGACACCTTCATCTAGCTTCATCGCCCTAGTGGCTCTAGCGAAAACCTCCCAGGACTTGCTTCCGAAGGCGCTGCCCGAACCAGCACAGAGACACATTCGGAGCCCCGGTGCTGGACCCAAGCGGTGTCTTTGTTGGCGACTCCGTGGGCCGTTTTCGCTCCGACTCCGCTCTGCGTGGAAGGCGGATTCGAGGCACGAGCGAGGGAAGGCGAGAACAAAGCGAAAACACGGAAGCACACACCGCTCGGGCTCAGCCCCGCGGAGCTCCGCGCGGATCTCTATCGGACCGGCGCTGGGCCGCCCCCGGCGGCGCCTCAGGCGCGCTGCCGGGGAGGGCCGGCGGCCCCGAGGCGGTGCGGCGGCAGGCTGCGCTGTGACCTCGAGGCCCCAGCGGGCCTCGCCGCACGGTGCGTCCATAGGAGCGCCAAAATCTGCCGACCCAGTTGGCGTGTGCGAGACGCTGCCGTCGTCGTCGTCGTCGTCGTCGTCGTCGTCGTCGTCGTCGTCGTCGTCGTCCCCAGCCCCAAGGAGATCTAGGAACGAGCAGAGGCAAGAGGCGTGGCAAAAGAAGCGTCACAGTTCCGTCGACTCCCTCCCATTCCCCCTCCCTGACGGGAGTCCCGAAGCGGTGCGGTGACAGACCGCGCGGTGACCTTCACATCTCCCAAGACCTCACCGC